CCAGCCCAAGCATCCCAAGTGCCTCGGCTAGGTGACCGCGGGTGCAAGGCAGGCGCCTGGCTGAAGGATTGGATTTTTGGCAGCTGCCAGGGCGGATGCGACGGTGGCAGACTGGCTCGCTTCTTGCTTTTTCCCACCCGCCCTGCAAAATTCCAAGGAGCGCAGTGCAGCCCTGCACTGCACAGCTTGGCGCAGCGCTCGATGGCCTGCAGCCGCCATCCTCACCCGCGCTCGCTTGCTCGCATTCCCGCCTCCTTTCCCTTTGAAAAATCCGTGCGCGGCTGCAGCTCGGCTAGCGCCCTCCATTCCCTCGCACCTGCATCTCGGACCTGTCAAGCAGACGTGCATGTGTTGCCTCCGTGCACTCGAGCCGCGCCTGGCGCCTCTGCCCCTCCTCCGCCTTGCAGAGACCGCTTGCAGCCATTTGTTCGCTCGCTCGCTCGCTCGCCCGCGCTGCCGTTCATTCCTGCTCTGGCTAGTGTGCGGATTCTCTCTGGCCAAGGTTCAGTTGCCGTCGGCCGTGCATTCCCCCCTCTCGTCGGATCCCGCCACTCTACCGCGCTTCGCTTCGCCTCGCCCTGTCCCGCCTCGCGCTGGTTGGCCCGGCGTTGAGCCTCGGGCCTGAATTCCCTGGCTCGGCCTTGCTGCACATGCTTCGCTTCGTCCAGCGCCATCGAGCTTCCGCCGCTTCCCACCCTCGCCGAAGCCCAAACGCGCCTTTTCTGTTCGTCGTCGTCGGTGACAGGTGTCGTTGGGCGTGGCGAGGCGTGCCTGCCCCCTCATGCTCCTCATGCTGCCTCACGCTCCCTCATGCTTCTCATGCCGGCCAAATGCCTCTGTGCTCCTGCCAGCTCCTTGTGCCTTGCTTGCACCGCGCTGCACCCGTGGCGCGTCGTTCCCAGTGCCTTTTGGCTGTTGCATGTGCGATACCCGAGCAGAGCCCCTTCCCACTCCTTCCGCTTCTGGTGTCATCGACAGCTCCTGCGCCTCATCTCGCCTATCTCGCCTTGCTTAAAGCTCTTCTCTCCTGACACCCGCCTGCTCTCCCTCTTCCTTTCCCATCTCTACACGCCCATCCCTCCGCTTCGACCCCTTGCCGACGCCCGCCGCGTGCTCACCCACCTGTCCGCCCTCGCCGTCGTCTGCATCGCTTCCACCGCTTGGCCTCTTTCCTTAAAAGACCCCTCGCATCTACCAAACACACGACCAATTCCGATCAACTCCCCCTTGCTTGACCAGCGATCCACGGTTCTCAGCCCATCCCGTCTCGCTTAGCATTCCCTCTACCATCACCCTCGCCTCCCCCCTGCACGCCACCATCGACTGCCCCCCTTGTTTGGTCGTCTCACCCTCCCCACTTTGCATCGCGATCCACCTCTCGTTCGCAACAGCCACCTCTCCAACCTTAAACAGCTGCATATCCTGCTCCATCTGCAGCCTCATCGCGGCGTCTTTCTGGCTTCCATCTCCGATCTCCTTATAAGACAAGCGCACTCGCCGGTGTCCTTCCCATCTTTCCTAACGCCAGTTCACCGCCATCCTCCACTCGCCGACCCACCCCACCCCACCCATCCCATCTCATCCCCCCT